AGGTCCGTATCTTGACCGAGGTGGCGGTTTTGCGCGGGATAACGACGGACTGGGGCTCCGCCTTCACCGAGCGCGTTGGCGTTGGGCGATCCGGTGCCTCGATTTTGATGCAAACCGAATCAGATGGAGCAAAAGAACATGTCGAAGACGCGACATGGCCGGCATCTGATACGTTCCGGCCGAGAAATTGCTTCAGAGTGGGAACATCGATCCATTCCTGGTCAAGGAATCGGCCGGCATTGGACGTGATGTACGTGGGCGTGTACATCTATCATTTTTGGCACGTTAGCAAGACGCGGCCACGCGACGCGACGCGGCGTGACGTACATAGTTGCGGAATTCCGTCAGCTGCCGACCCGAGAGACCATCAAGGAAATCCCAGTCGGCGGGGGTGTGCTTTGATGCCGCCATTTTGACGCGCTTTTCTGACGCGCCGGGGGATTATTTGGTGGGGTGGTGGTGGTAAGAGACAGAGAAAATTGGCGGGGCGCTGACGTGTCAATTCCGGAAGCGGCCGTTTTCGCCAAAGGCGGCACATTCTCAAAAGGGAAAGTGCCGTCTCTGGTTTGAAAGGCGACACATTGATCTGAATGTGCCGCCTCTGATGAGAATGTGCCTCCTCCTCAATGTATGTGCTGGCCGGGTCTTGTATATCCTCCTTCGGTTCTGCCCCCTCCCAACCATCCGCCGGTTCCATCGACGTGCTCATCGCTATGCCAGTGTCTATCGCCTGGGTGCCACAGGACCGATCACCGGGTTTGCCGTCAAGACATACCGGTCGCACCGCGGAGTGCGTGCAACTGAATTGGCTGATGCAACGGCGAAGTGGAAGGCCAAGGCAAAGGCAATGTCACGAGGGGTGGTGCCGGTCAAGGGCAAGGGCAAGCGGAAGGCTAAATAGTTACACTAAATTTACAAAATTCTCGCTCCAGATTTTGCGTTTTTTTTTCCCACGCTATGAGACGCCCCAATTTTTTTGAAACGAAAATTTTACACACAAACTATACCTACTTTCATGCCTAATCCTGAATCTAGAAGGCCCTGGGTCAAAATTGCGGCTTGTCATGAAGTTTTGGCTGCAACCATACTCGTACATACTCGAAAATGCTGAACTCAGATCCGTGTGAGTTTGTTCCCACAGATGACTCAGACTCGCGGGTTCATTACCCACAGGTATGTGAGTACCTGTGAGTTTATAAACCTGTGGGTACTCATGGGTAACTCATGAGTACTCACAGATAATCTGGCACAATATATAATGATCGGACTTGCTGCTTGGATATTCTATGTACTATCAACATCAATAATATCATCCGTGATTGCAGTGTCTATTCCCTTCCCCTTAGGCCTCTTGGATTTCTCCTTGAACTGAGCAATAACTTCTGTGACAGGGATTGCATCGGGGAGATTGCACCAAGACCGTAAAACTGCTGCTGCCCGAGTAGACTCATCAGAAGAGAGTGGCGCATTTTTGAGACAGTCAAGGAGCTTAATTTTGCACAACTAGCTTATCATTTGAAAGGTTGTAACATTGTATAATAATTCATAGTAGCAGTTTAGTCAAAGGATCAAAGCAAATTTAGTTTTGAAATAAAGGCCTGGTGATCGCCGGCCCGAACATCTTGTCGAATGGATTTTGATTCGACAAGATGTTCGGACCGGGGGCGGCGCGGAGAGGAAAGTTGAAAAGACAAAAATCAAACCCTCAGGGAGAATCGAACCTAGACTCCTCAGAGGTCCTGGAACAAGTGGATTACAACATAATACCAACTGAGCTAAGTGACCACTGAAACTTGTGAGTACTCGCATGGGTATGTTAGGAACAAAAATCCATACCCAGATCCGTGCCCTACCCGTGGGAACAAGTACTCGGATCCGCAGGCATGCATACCCACAGGTTTTCCCACGGATCAACCTGTATTGACCCGCGGGTTACCCGGACTCGTGGGATGCCTTAGTTGAAAGAGCAGGATGACAGGTGTGGTCTTGTTTCCTTTGTTCCAACTCGCTTCTCTACGTTTGCGGATCAATCGAGCAGTGTGAGCTGCTGTCTCACGTCCATGGGAAACTGCTTTGCGGAGGGCCTTATCCGATACGAAGGCCGTGAGTTTTATCCTTCGAAGCGACTCGAATTAACTAATTAACCACTGCCCAGACGAAACCTCTTCAACAATATTTTATCAACGACTCTCCGGCACAACTTACCTTTCGCCTTCAGCTATACAACATTAATATGCTTCTCAAACCCATTGTACGCGGCCTGAAGACATTGGAGAGCAGCCAGGTTACGTGTTCGGATGTTTTCAACATCTGGATTGGCATCGCGATCGGATTCCAAGAGGTGTTCATTAATCCTGGTACGTCCCATCCCGTCAATAAATGTGCATTTGATGCTAACATCCAAATAGACAATCTGATTAACAAGTACCATCAAGAGACGTTTGATTGCTACAACCGTCGGTTCGCCATCTTCATGAATGACTGTACACCTGGAATGTTCATTTTATCTTACCTTCTGGATCCCGGTACAAATATTCAACCTTCTGCCTGCTATTCCTCACTGAACCATTCACTAGTTTATTATCGTGACGGTGCTTTGAGGCTTGGACTTCCCACGCACCAACATTTCAACAAACAGACCGCTTCTCCTCTGGTTTCATACCTCATCACCAGCGCTCGAATGATGCTCCGAAATGAACAAAAATGCGAGCAAAAGGGCGACACATCCGAAGGAGACATTCTCGTGAACCAGCTCATATGTGCGTACATTGTTCAACTTCGCTTTGGGCGAGAACTGACTTGATCACTAGCTTACATGTATCGTGAGGCACCTTTCGATCTACCGTGTGCCGATCTGTCCCTGCGACTTGGCTGGTGGAAGTCGCTATCAAAAGACAGAATTCATACATATTGGCAGTGTGTGGTTCAGTTTGTGTTTGCCGTTTTGACTAATATTTGTGCAGCGTCTCGGCATCAAGGTTTTCAGTGTCGTTCCAAGCGAAACGCCGGACGAGCGTACAGCATCGCGGCTTACTGCCATGAGCACAGCCAAACGGAACAATCTGGGTGGTGAGAACCTCGTGCGGCTTGCCCAGCTTAATCAATATTGGCGGTACGGATTCGGTTCTCCTGACATCCAGCGACACTGCCAGAAGGTTCGATTGGAGCTTCCAACTCCCAATCGTAAGGCGTCAGATCCCGTTGTTGTCGGTATTCCAACATTGCAAGATCTCCTCAATGCGGATTCAGTCGATGATCAGTCGATTGATGAGGAGGCTCTCTTCAACCACCCGGATCCATACGGAATCAAAGACCTCGAGGCAATGGAAGAAGGCGAGGACGAGACCGATACAACCCCTCCCCCTCTCGTCATTCGTCGTGCCAACCTTCCCACCCTGGAGATCGAGGCCTACATCGATCTGAAAGCCCCAAAACTGACCCAGCGCTTCGCCCCCAATCAGGGCAAGCCTGAGCAGACTTCACAACCGACGACGAAACCTGCCAAGGAGCCAAGCACCAAGTGGACCGCGGCGGACGCTGAATGGGACGCATCGGACTGGTAGGGTCTTCATTCAAAGTCAAGGATCTTGGTCCCACAGAATGGCTGTTGGGCATCAAGATTGAGCGCAACTCAGAGACTGGTGACATCCTCCTTTCACAGCGGCAGTATGCTGTGAACATGCTTGAGCAGTTCAAAATGTCGGATTGCAAGCCTGTGGAAACTCCGATGCTCCCTGGTCTTGTATTGACCACAGAGATGGGAGCCAAGACTGAAGAGGAAGCCAAGCAGTACCACATGGCATATACCTGCTGCTGTAGGCTCTCTGATGTACCTTGCTACCCAAACTCGGCCGGATATCTCCTATACTGTTGGAGTGCTTGCATGCTTCAATAGCAATCCGGGGGAGGCTCACTGGAAGGCTGTGAAACATTTGTTCCGTTACATCAAAGGAACACTTGACTTTCATCTCACCTACTCCAAGTTGTTGTCTTCGCCTCACTCTTTTGTCACCTACACCGATGCAGACCATGGTGGGTGCAAGAGAACTGGCAAGAGCACTGGAGGTTACTTGGTGATTATGAATGGCAGTCCAGTGAGCTGGAGAAGCAAGTTGCAGACCACTGTCTCTCTTTCCACCACTGAAGCTGAATACATTGCTGGTGTGGATGCTGGAAAGGAGATCAAGTGGGTGTGCAGTCTACTTGGTGAATTGGGATATGGAGTGTCTGGTGCTTCTCTCCTTCGTATGGACAATCAGTCTGCGATACAGGTGTCTAAAAACCCTGAGCATCATGGTCGTATGAAGCACCTTGACTTGGCTATGTTCTGGCTAAGAGACGAAGTTGGGAAGGGCTCTATTGCAGTTGATGTTGGAGTCTGCTAGGCAACCGAACACGGGACTAACCGCCCGTTGTGAGACTAACCATCCACATCATGTGAGGGACTAATCGCTAGTGCCGGGTCTGCATTGTATTATACATTTCATACGGGAGAGGTTCTGGGAGCCTCCTGGTCTTGAATGTAGGGCTTGTTTACAACGTTTAATACCGGCGCTGCCGGCCCGAAAAATTCCCGTATTTAACGTATAAAACATGTATTTAATACCGTTTCTTTCTCGTTACAGAAGCGTTCTGATGCGACTCCGAAGGCTTCATAGTCTTCTGACGAAAGTGCCATGCCAGTATTGGCTGGGGCGGCGGTGAAAAAAGTGACACTGATTGGTATCACATGACCGTATGTTAGCCGACGGAGTCGCCCGGCGCCGATAGCTCCGATGGCCAGAGTTTCGACCAATTGACTTTGTTATGAGTCCCATACATTCTAGGAAGGTCAGAGGCAACTGCTACGAGGTTTTGGGCATTAAATACAGTTAAATACATGGCATCTGAGACGCCTCCGGTATGTAACGTTTTATACACGTATAATACACCTCTGTTTAATACACTGTTTAAATACACCCTTTAAAACCCGGCACTACTAATCGCCCAACTCGATCAACGGCATAATAGCTCAGTTGGTTAGAGCGCTTCCATATCATGAGAGTGATGTGGGTTCGAATCCTGCTTAAGCCATATTTTTCCCTTTACCTGCGAGGTCACACGATTCTCAACATGGTAGCAGCAACCTATAACTGACTAGGCAACTCTGGTATGAGACAATCACTATAGTGCCCCCTTCAACTAAAGCTATCTGATGAATAGTCTTGTCATCGTCAGGGTTAGTAGCACTGAGATCAGTGCCTGTGGTCATTGGAGTGAACACTGGTTTGCAATCAGTCATGCCGTAGCGTGTAAGAACCTTGTCAATATATTGATGTTGGCTGAGAGCAATTGTGCGCTTTTTGTGGTCACGAACAATCTTGATTCCAAGTAGATATTTGGCTGGACCAAGATCTCGCATTTTGAAGCAGGATGCAAGTAACCCTTTGACTTTCTGGGAGAACTCTTTGGAGGTAGCCGCGATCAGTAGATCATCAACATAGACTATGGTGGCGGCTATGACTTTGTGACAAGTCCAAGTCCCAATTTGGAAATCCTTACTGAGAGCTCAGTTTTCATCCAATAATGCTAAGATTGTTAGAATAGCACAATAAGAGATCCCTCTATAGATCTACCGGAGCAAAACTTTGAAAAATGAAAATGAAATTTTTCCGACTTCGATTTCGCGCTTTTGATGGCGGACCGGCTTGCCGGTGGCGGTGCTGCGCCATCATTTTCGCTTTGCGCTCACCTCTTGGCCATCGAGCATGCCCAGGACTGGCAAGAAACCATCCAATGCTCAGCGCGGGAGCGATGGCATGTTTGTTTCTAATCACAAGCTACCCCCAAGCCCCGATTCTGGGTCCAAAGACAGTGATTCGGATGACGAGATGGCATGGGAATCTGCCACGGACGTGGAACCCGAGGACTCCAGCTATTCCGAGGCATGGCAGAAGCTTCCCCTGCCGATGACATTCGATGAGCAGGCGGAGGAGCGTGCAGCTCAGAGGAAACGGGCCGAAGAAAAGCGCTGGATTGCGGAGATGCGGGGAGTGGAGCAGGGGGAGGCAGGAGCCCCAGATAATCAGAAAGGTGCGCCTGGCAACACGATTCAGAGAGCCTGTTTATGATTCTATCCAAGGCAAAACTTGTATGTATGGCGATGACGGTAACGATACTGATGAAGAAGATGACCGGCCGGTCGATTGTTGCATGCGGCGCCTGCTTTTGACCCAATCGGATTTTGCACAACAGAAAACCCAACTTGAGCTGGTGTGTTTCTCCAACTATTCTCTCTGTTCACCATTTTTAACTGTTTCGTCAGTTGATTGAGGCTGCACCCGGAATGGTCTGCCACTTTCTCCCAAAATCAGTATGCGAGCGTCTACCAACTCGGCGCCACGGGACCGGTTGCGGAGTTTGCGGTGAAGAAGTATCGCTCGCACCGCGGGGTTCTTAAGACAGAATTGGAGGAAGTGAAGCTCCAGTGGGACAAGAAAGCTAGATCTTGTCGTCTCTAGGCATAGAACACGTGTATTGGACTCCAATTTTTTTTTTTCAACTTTGGTGAATTTCGCGCTTTTCTTACGTAAGCACAGCCCCCCACCCCCCCCCCCCCTGTTTTTTCTGAAATGAAAATTTTCGCTATAAACAAGCCTCATGTTCCTACCTAATCTACAATATCTAAGCCATCCGGTCAAAATTGCGGTTCCAAGTTCTCCCTGCCTGTTTGAGTCCATACAAAGACCGCTTCAAGCGCCAGCACACCTGCCCTGCCCATATATAGCAACACACCAGATGGACAGATCACATCAATACCGTGCATGCGGTTGGTATTGAAAATGCCGCGGGGGCGTACTCCCCGGTAATACCCTCCACTAAACTCCCCACTTCCACTTGTCCTCAGAGCAACCCGCCGTCCGGCGCTGCCGGTTGCCACCGGACGCCATCGCCCCGATCTGTTAGAACAGGCAGCACAGAGGTCTGAAGTCAACAGTGAGAACTCTTGTGTATTGCAAAGAAAAGGAAGTGAGTACTAACCTGAAGTCAACAGTGAGAACTGAGGACTCCAGGGCCACACTAGCCTACTTATATATGTATAGTATGCACAGCAGTAAGGCTGTGTATACAGCAATGGATACAGCAGTAAGGCTGTGTGCATAGGAATAAAGACAGCCATCAGGCTGTGCAACAGCAGTAAGGCTGTTGCATAGGAATATAACAGCAATAAGGCTGTGTGCATAGGAATACAACAGCTTGTATGACAGATGGTTCCATCAGGATACCAGTGCACACAGCATGTAACTAAGTCCATGATGCGAGAATGTACAAGTCCAATCACAGATCCCAACACGATCAGACTGGAGACAGGTAAAGCCCATAGATTGGAGCTTTGCACTCAGCTTCTTGTGCCATTGACGACCAGCCTGTTTAAGCCCATAAAGTGACTTTCGCAGTTTAAGAAGCTGGCCACGGTCTCCCTGCGGAAATCCTTCAGGCTGAGTCATATAGACTTCTTCCTCGAGATCCCCATTCAAATATGCAGATGAGAAGTCAATGGAACGAAGTTTGAGATCATGCTGAGCTGCAGTGCAAGAGCAAGGATAATACAGAGGGTTGCTGGTTTGAATGTGGGAGAGAATATCTTGTTGTAGTCGATGCCATGACACTGGCCACGACCATCTGCAACGAGGCGGGCCTTGTAGCGCTCAATAGAGCCATCAGACTTGTGCTTGATGATGAAAACCCATTGAGAACGAATGGGCTTCACATCAGGTGGTGCATCAACAACATCCCATGTACAGTTCTCCAGAAGAGAGTTTATTTCGGAGACTGCTGCTTCCTTCCAAAGATGAGCATCTGCTCGCCGTAGTGCTTCATGATAAGACCTAGGATTGCCAGACTGAACAGCAGAGTGAGCTGACTGCACAGAAGCAACATTGGCCATTTGAAGTGCTGCACTAGTTGGATCTCCATGATGTGCCACAATGAGCGCACTCCCAGGTTTCAAGAGCAACTCGTCATCACTGCTGTCCTCTGCATCGCTCGGAATAGCCGGAGTAGGCTCTCGATAAGCACGCTCAGTTTTCCACCACTCTGTTGCAGGTCTATCTGTTGTTTGACCGTGGAACTTGCAACGTGCAGCAACACCTATAGGAGATGGTGGCTGCTGAGGAGGCTCTTCAGGAGGTGGACTAGGTGAAGGAGGGTGAGTAGTGTTGAACGTGGGAATCCGACTCGGCGTATTAGTTAGTTTCCCCTCTCGCGATGAACTCGGACCATTACATATATGGATATTATTGTACCGTGACCCATGACCGATAGTCCGCATGCTACATATCTAGATAGAAGTTCCGGCATCTTCGGCCGGTTAAACGGCCTCGGATAGGTACCTGGTTACTCATCTTAGCTTACACATTACGGCCAGGACATCTTGTATGACGTGGGATTGGGCCTCTTCGAGGCAGGTGCTGAACCTATACAAGAGGGAGGCAACAGGTCTACTACGACAGAATTAAATATGGAACAATCATCTCAAAAATGTGCATGCGGTACAAAACACACGGTCCAAATACCTGTTCTCAGACGATGAGCATTCTAAATCAATTCGTTATGCATCGAGAACTCACTCGTAATGAATCGACCAATGGAGTGCTCATAATTTAGGGCCAACTCGTCCGTCTTATCCTCTGTCGGTGCACCTGGGTCCGTTCCAAGATTGAACGCTCGAGTCCTTGAGAACAATAGGATGACTTACCCATCTTTTGTGGTGAGAAGTTTCACCTCGCCTTCCGGAATTACATCATAGAACCACGACAGCCGCTCACGGGAATAAGCTTTTGTTTCTGCGGCTTTGAGCTCTGTGCGTCTGAGCTCTTCTCGGAGTTCTTGCGAGATGTGGTTTTGAATACGATCGAGTCGGAAGGGTCGGAGGATGCAGAGGCCTTCGAAAGTGCGCACCCGCGAGAGCATTACATATGCACTCTGAATACTGGGGCAACTTGCTAGGTCTATGCAGCAGACATGCAGGGAACGGCCTTGTGCATTGTGGGATGTAAAAGCGAAGGCCGGAATCAGAGGGAGTTGGGAACGAGTGGTGTGGTAAATCTTCTCAGATTCCTCCAGGCGGAAGTGAATTTGACTGGTGCATGTTTTCAGCGTAACCCGATGCGGATGTAGAGCATCCGGATTGCTGTTTCTGTAGGCCCTGAAGTCGACCTCCGCCGAGATCGCATAGCGGCGACCTTCAACCTCCTCATAGACGATAGAGATGAGTGTTCCTGGGCTCCCATTGGAGATTCCCAGCTCGGTTGCAATGTTCTCCGTGCAGAAGACCGGCATGCCGGGCACGAACGGAACCTTGCCGCCGAGATCATTGGCCTCTTTCACAGGTATTGACCAAGCAACTTCAGCGGCCAAGCTGCTAAGCTGCCGCTTCTTCCTCCCGCGCCCCCTGGTGTCCTTGGCATGGTACAAATGGTACTCTTGCCCTGTCGCGATCGCAAAAGCCTCAGCAGTGCAATTATTATGATAGTCCCGAGCGACGTTGGTATACACGATGAGTGGGCACGCGCGTTCCGGTTCGTTGATCCACCTTTGAACATCGGTGAGACTTTTTGTTTCTGCACTACATCCCTCGTTCGATAACACATATTTGTCCAGAATGGTGTTATCTTCAGCAGTACACAGGCCCTTCCGCAATCGTTTGAGTATTCCAATTAAGACGGGGTCTTTTTGCCGCATGATCTCCTCGAGTACAACAACATGCTTTACTTGGTGCCAGACTTGAATTCCTTTCACATCCTGGCGGATATTTTCATGTAAGTCATTCAAATCATCATTGAAATGGCATTGCACGAGCTCGTTGGAGAACAAAGACCTCCCTTGAGGCGGAGGAAGTTGGCAGGGATCCCCGCATGTTGCCCAATTTAACCCGCCGCATATTTCTTCGGTCATTCCTTTTCCCATACACAGATATTCAGAGAGGCGGGCTAAGTCATTCGCATTTAGGAAATAGACTTCATCCAGAATGAGAGTTTCGAGGTGAGCGATCCGTTCTTCAAGATTGGTGCGGATACTCGGAGTGGATTTCA